CACCAAAATACTAGCCAATAGGATCCAACAGTACATTAAAAGGATTATTCACCATGACCAAGTGGGATTTATCCCTGGGCTGCAAGGTTGGTTCAACATCCGCAAATCAATCAATGTGATACAGTACATTAACAAAGGAAAGAACAAGAATCATATGATCCTCTCAATAGATGCAGAAAAAGCTTTTGACAAAGTACAGCATCCTTTCTTGATTAAAACTCTTCAGAGTATAGGGATAGAGGGTACATACCTCAATATCATAAAAGCCATCTATGAAAAACCTACAGCAAATATTATTCTCAATGGGGAAAAACTGAGAGCTTTCCCCCTAAGGTCAGGAACGCGGCAGGGATGTCCACTATCACCACTGCTATTCAACATAGTATTGGAAGTCCTAGCCACAGCAATCAGACAACAAAAAGAAATCAAAGGCATCCAAATTGGCAAAGAAGAAGTCAAACTCTCACTCTTTGCAGATGATATGATACTTTATGTGGAAAACCCAAAAGACTCCACCCCAAAACTGCTAGAACTCATACAGGAATTCAGTAAAGTGGCAGGATATAAAATCAATGCACAGAGGTCAGTGGCATTCCTATACACCAACAACAAGACAGAAGAAAGAGAAATTAAGGAGTTGATCCCATTTACAATTGCACCCAAAACCATAAGATACCTAGGAATAAATCTAACCAAAGAGACAAAGGATCTGTACTCAGAAAACTATAAAATACTCATGAAAGAAATTGAGGAAGACACAAAGAAATGGAAAAACGTTCCATGCTCATGGATTGGAAGAACAAATATTGTGAAGATGTCAATGCTACCTAGAGCAATCTACACATTCAATGCAATCCCCATCAAAATACCATCCACTTTTTTCAAAGAAATGGAACAAATCATCCTAAAATTTGTATGGAACCAGAAAAGACCCCGCATAGCCAGAGGAATATTGAAAAAGAAAAGCAAAGCCGGTGGCATCACAATTCCGGACTTCAAGCTCTATTACAAAGCTGTCATCATCAAGACAGCATGGTACTGGCACAAAAACAGACACATAGATCAATGGAACAGAATAGAGAGCCCAGAAATGGACCCTCAACTCTATGGTCAACTAATCTTCGACAAAGCAGGAAAGAATGTCCAATGGAACAAAGACAGTCTCTTCAACAAATGGTGTTGGGAAAATTGGATAGACACATGCAGAAGAATGAAACTGGACCACTTCCTTACACCACACACAAAAATAGACTCCAAATGGTTGAAAGACCTCAATGTGAGACAGGAGTCCATCAAAATCCTAAAGGAGAACACAGGCAACAACCTCTTTGACCTCAGCCGAAGCAACTTCTTCCTAGAAACATCGCCAAAGGCAAGGGAAGCAAGGGCAAAAATGAACTATTGGGACTTCATCAAGATAAAAAGCTTTTGCAAAGCAAAGGAAACAGTCAACAAAACCAAAAGACAACCGACAGAATGGGAGAAGATATTTGCAAATGACATATCAGATAAAGGGCTAGTATCCAAAATCTATAAAGAACTCATCAAACTCAACACCCAAAGAACAAAGAATCCAATTAAGAAATGGGCAGAAGACATGAACAGACATTTTTCCAAAGAAGACATCCAAATGGCCAACAGACACATGAAAAAGTGCTCAATATCACTCGGCATCAGGGAAATCCAAATCAAAACCTCAATGAGATATCACCTCACACCAGTCAGAATGGCTAAAATTAACAAGTCAGGAAACGACAGATGTTGGCGGGGATGCGGAGAAAGGGGAACCCTCCTACACTGTTGGTGGGAATGCAAACTGGTGCAGCCACTCTGGAAAACTGTATGGAGGTTCCTCAAAAAGTTGAAAATAGAGCTACCATATGATCCAGCAATTGCACTACTGGGTATTTACTCCAAAGATACAAAAGTAGGGATCCGAAGGGGTACGTGCACCCCGATGTTTATAGCAGCAATGTCCACAATAGCCAAACTGTGGAAAGAGCCAAGATGTCCATCGACAGATGAATGGATAAAGAAGATGTGGTATATATATACAATGGAATATTATGCAGCCATCAAAAGGAATGAGATCTTGCCATTTGCAACGACGTGGATGGAACTGGAGGGTATTATGTTGAGTGAAATAAGTCAAACAGAGAAAGACATGTATCATATGATCTCACTGATATGAGGAATTCTTAATCGCAGGAAACAAACTGAGTGTTGTTGGAGTGGGGGGTGGGATGGGAGGGATGGGGGGACTGGGTGATAGACAATGGGGAGTGTATGTGCTCTGGTAAGCGCTGTGAATTGTGCAAGACTGTTGAATCTCAGATCTGTACCTCTGAAACAAATAATGCAATATATGTTAAGAAAAAAAAAAAGAAGAAGAAGAAGAAGGTAGCGGGAGGGGAAGAATGAAGTGGGGGAAATCGGAGGGGTAGACGAACCATGAGAGATGATGGACTCTGAAAAACAAACAGGGTTCTAGAGGGGAGGGGGGTGGGAGGATGGGTTAGCCTGGTGGTGGGTATTTAGGAGGGCACATTCTGCATGGAGCACTGGGTGTTGTGCACAAACAATGAATCATGGAACACTTCATCTAAAACTAATGTTGTAATGTAAGGGGATTAACATAAGAATAAAAAAAAATTAAAAAAAAAAAAAAAAAAAAGAAAAATGCCAAGTATATACTGTGTGATTTTATTTACATGAAGTTCAAAAGCAGAGAAAGTTAATATATGATATCAGAAGTCAAGAAAGTGGTTACCCTTGGGTGCCTGGGTGGCTCAGTTGGTTAAGCGACTGCCTTCGGCTCAGGTCATGATCCTGGAGTCCCCGGATCCAGTCCCGCATCGGGCTCCCTGCTCAGCAGGGAGTCTGCTTCTCCCTCTGACCCTCCCCCCTCTCATGTGCTCTCTCTCTCTCTCTCAAATAAATAAATAAAATCTTTAAAAAAAAAAAAAAAGAAAGTGGTTACCCTTTACGGGTGAAGTTAGTGGCTAAAAAAGTTTTGAGGGTCTAGGATTGTTTTTCTTTCTTTCTTTTTTTGATCAGTAAATGCTAAGTTAATTTTATTACTTATTTCTGCAACTTGTGGGCATAAATAATAGAATGATATACAGTTTGGTTATCCATTATTTGAGGAGATTTTTGGAAACCCTTATATTTTGGGCCCATAATCTCAGGCTTTAACATACACCAGAATCTAAAGAATTAACTATATCATTTCCCTACACTCTCTTATATATCCTAAGTAGGTTTTCTTTCATCTTTATGGATCTACTAAAATCAAAGATTCCAAACTGCTTGTCACTTGAATAAGAGGAAGTGTATTACTCTCTGCCCATGGTATAAAATGTTACAAAAGCTCTGAAGATGGAGGGTCCTGTGGGAAATCGAGACTCACCAGCCTCCCCTGGCCAGCACTGTGTGATTGATGCTGCTTCGCACCCCCCACACTCACTAATGAAAGCGTGCTTCATGCTGGTCTCCTCCGTAAATATAAGCAAATTATAGTGCATCTGCTCGGAAATCGTCACTGCTTTCCTACAGATGCCACTCCAGATGCAGCACTGACTATCCTTCATGGACAGCCCGCCTTCCCAAGGGAAGAACAAAAGCAAAGCTTGTCAAACTTTAGCATGCATTCCTGTCACAGGAATAAAAATCACAGTATGGGAAATACAATCAATGGCATTAGAAGAGTGTTGTACGGTGACGGGTAGCAGCTACCCTTGTGGTGAGCATAGTATAAAGGATAGAGAAGTTAAAACACAGCTGCGCACCAGAAACTAATGTAACGTTGTGTGTCAAGTATACTCAAATTAAAAAAAAAAAAAAAATTCCTGGAGGGGTTGTTATAACACAGGTTCCTGGAATCTACCACCACGAGTTCTGATTCAGTAGTTCTGGAAGGGGCCTCCAAATTTACATTTCTTTCTTTCTCTCTCTCTCTTTTTTTGTTTTTATTTAAATTCCAGTTAGTTAACATACAGTGTAATATGAGTTTCAGGTGTACAATTTAGTGATCCAACACTTACATACAACAAGGGTCTGGGATTCTGATGGTATTGTTTCTTGGTCTGAGTGCTGGGTACTTAGGTATGTTTACTTTGTGAAAATTCATTCCATCATCTACTATGTGTATTATACTTTAACAAAAGCTAAAACCTTAAAAAGAGATACGGAAGAAGACCAAAGTAAATTGGGAGGTAAACCAAATTAATCAATAGATCCAGCCTAATCTCAATAATAATGATAATAATAAAACCAGCAGGTTTTGTTGTTGTTGTTGTTTGGTTGGTTTTGGTGGAACTTGGCAAGGTTATTTAAAAATTTATATGGAAACACAAAGCAGGGCCTGCTTCAAAAAGAACCAGATGGAAAAAAAAAAAAAAGAACCAGATGGGAGGACTGAATGTACCAGGTATTATAAAACTATAGTAACTAAGATAACAGGCCAGTTATCTTAGTACAGTTATCTTATAGTACAGAGAGATATCTAGAAACTTGCTATGTGACCAAGATATGACATTTAATATCAATGGGGAAAAAAAAACTTTCCAGTAAAAAGTTCAGTTGGAGACAACTGGTTATTTATATGGTAAAAATACAAAATTAGTTATCTACATAATACCATATGCAAAATAAATTATAGTCGGATTAAAACCTAAAAGTTAAAGGGCGCCTGGGTGGCTCAGTTGGTTAAGTGTCTGACTCTGGATTTTGGCTCAGGTTCTGATCTCAGGGTTGTGAGATCGAGCCCCGCATAGGGCTCTGTGCTGGGCGTGGAGCCGTGCTTAAGATTCTCTCTCTACCTCTCCCTCTGCCCCTTCCCCTCCTCCAAAAAAAAAAAACAAAAAAAACAAAAAAACAAAAACAAAAGTAAAAGATAAAACTATAAAGCTTTTATAGAATAATATAAAAAATATTTCATGATTTCAGGTTTCAGGCTAGGAAAAAAAATTCTCAAATAAGACAAAAAAGGTTAATCATGAAATAAAAGCTTAATAAACTAGATTTGAATAAAATGAAAACCTCTATTCATTAAAAGTCACCATAAAGAGACTGAAAAGAGGGATTACAGAATGGAAGACGATTTTTGAAACACATAGAACTGACAAAGTATCAGCAGGTCAGACATCTTCAAGTCAGTAAGAGAAGACAGACATTTTATGAAAAATCTAGGCAAAAGACCTGAACAAAAACTTTATAAAAAGAGAACTTCCAAGAGCCAATAAAGGTATGAAAATGTGTGCAATGTCATTATTATCAAGAAGGAAAACACATTAAATCCTTAATGAGATGCCATTACAAACTTACCAGAAGGGCTAACATCTATCAAGTCCAAAAATACAAGTAGAGCATTGGGAGCTACCTAAATGAGGCTGCTGTGTGGTGTGAACTGGAAAACAATTTTTATAATACGGTAAAATCAAACGTGCACATACCCTGTAACACTGCCATTCCACTCCTAGGTATATGCCGACATAGTATGTCCAACCCAATGCATGGTAAGAATAGTCAAAGCAGCATGATTTGTAATAGGTAAATCCAGAAACAACCTACATGTTGACTGACAGCATATGATATAGTCATACAACAGAATGCTATTTGTCAATGAAAATGTATGAACTGCAGCTACTCATACAGCAAGGCTGAGTCTCAAACAGACTATATCGTGGATGCTGCCCAGATCCCCTTTGGGGAGCCCTGGCTAGTGCTCCACCCCTCAGCTCCTGTATTGGTTGCTAATGGCTTGCAGCAGGCCCCTAATCTGGACAATTGTCCTTGGCCAAAAGGGTACTCCTGGTACACACTGGCCGAAGACTTTTTATGACATGCTGTCACAAGTATCTCAGTGGGACCAACATTGTGGTACTTTCCATGCTCCAGGGCTCCGCTGGGGTTCAAGCTGAAGCAGAGACCTCATCCTTGCTTAGCTCCTATCCCTGTCCTGCTTCCTCTGCCCCCTTTCTCCTGAGATCTCGAGCTCCACAAATTATATACACCTGAATCCCTGTCTTCACCTTTGCATGTGAGGAATCTGACCTGAGACATATAGCTAAGCTAGAGAGAAAGACACAAAAGGGTATATATATTATGATATACACATAAGTGGTAAAATAAAGGAAGTCAGAATAGTGTTCACCTCTGGAGCTGTGATCAGGGAAGGTACACAGGGGGCTTCTGGTACTGGCAATGTTCTATTTCTTGACCTGCATGGTGTCTCTGTGGATATTCACTTTATAATTATTACTTAAATTGTATGTGCGTGGGGTGCCTGGGTGGTTCAGTCGTTAAGCGTCTGCCTTCAGCTCAGGTCATGATTCCAGGGTCCTGGGATTGAGCCCCGCATCGGGCTCCCTGCTCACCAGGAAGCCTGCTTCTCCCACTCCCACTCCCCCTGCTTGTGTTCCCTCTCTCGCTGTGTCTCTGTCAAATAAATAAATAAAATCTTTAAAAAAAAAAACTGTATGTGCATGTTTATGCACCATTTAGCATGTATGATATATGCAAAAAGAAGAAAAATTTATAAGTAATTAAAGAGATTTTTTGTTGCGAGTTAAATAAGAACGTATCAGAGAAGATGAACTGTTTAATTTGTGCTTTCTTACATTTGTTGAGATCTTCCTTGTAGCCTAATATATCAAGGCTTGTAAACTATTTCATGTATCACATTTATCAATAAAATATGCTATGGATTTTTTTAAGATTTTATTTTTAAGTAATCTCTATACCCAACATGGGACTCAAATTCACAACCCCGAGATCAAGAGTCACATGCTCTACTGACTGAGCCCTCCAGGCACCCCTGTGCTATGGATTTTTATGTCATTGGTATAATGATTGTATTAGTCATCTATGACTGCTCAAAAAATTACCCCCAAATTTAGCAGCTTAAAAAAAAAAACAACACTTTCTCTCACGGTTTCTGTGTATCAGGAGTCAGGGCACGGCATAGCTGGGTCCTCTGGGTCTCTCACAAGATTGCAGTCAAGGTGTTGGCTGGGACCACAGCTCCCGCAAGGCTGGGACTCCAAAGGCTCCACTTCCAAGAATGCTCACGTGGTTGCAGGATTCACTTCCTTGTGGGCTAATTGCACTGAGGGCGTCAGCTCCTTGCTGGCTGTTGGCTGAGCAACCTTCCTCAGTTTTTTGCCTTGTGAGCCTCTCAGAGCATGGCAGCTGGTTTCCATTAGAGCAAGCAAGCAAGGCAGAAGCCAGTCTCTTTTGTCTATCTAACCCAGATGTTTACATCCCAGATCTTTTTTGCTGTTTTCTATTCATTAGAAGAAGTTTCTAGGTCCAGCTCACACTTGAGAGGAAAGGATTACACCAGAGCATGAACACCAAGAGGGGACCATTGGCAGTGATATAAATCACCAGCTGGCTTGTCCATTGTTGCTTGGAGAATTGCTAACCATCATTAAACAAACAAAACCCTGACTGATATTCATCCTAGATCACAGTATACAGAATTTCGCATGCACAAAGCAGCTAGATCACAAACATCTAAGAGCCAGAGATTCTGTTCCTTGGGACTTTGATTTTGGGGTTCCTGTTTGAAACACCGTTCATTTTCTCTGCCCACCACAGTTTTACATATGGGATGGATCTTCCTCAGTGACACAAGCTTCTTATTGAACCTGTTTGTTTGAGCTGCTCTGAAGAACCAATGCATGATTTTCTTGTGGTGCCTTTGAGACCCCAAAAGTGATCTGTAAGTCTTTATCATAGCTTATGCTTAAAAACAGACCATCCTAAATATACTCTCCCTACTGAATAGGAATCCAAGTTTTGAGTTATGTGGAACCAGAAATATGTATTTAAACAAATGTCTTTTTGTCTATTTGATCTACCTTTGATTGATGAGGAGGCCAGCTCAGAGTCTGAGTGTGTTGGGGTACAAAGGGACCCCAGAGGGGCTGAAACCTCTCTAACATGCCCCATGTGTTCTTTTACCAAAGGTGAAAGTTCTTACTTACGAACTGGGCTTACGGTTTCTTGTTTGGTTTATTAGCTGCAGCTGTATTTTCCCCACTTCTCCCCTTTGGCCATAGTGTTGCTAACCTTTGTAAACATTTAAATGTACAATTAAAGTGCTCACTTGTGCTCCATCTGAGCCACATTCTCTCTAGTTTTGAAAGCATAGTTCTCAGGAACCTCAACATGATCTTACGGTTTCCACAAAGAGCAGAATATGACTGTTAATAGGTAGATGTTAAGGTTGTTGCTATCATCCTCAATTGAGGTTGGCTGAGTCCTGGGTGGGCTTTGCTCTGTGCTGAATGCCCTGCTGCTTCACATAGCCAAATGCAGTAAACATGACTCTCTGGTAAGTCATACATCCCTGTTTTTCAAAGAAGCATAAATCCCTCCTGCAAAGAATCCATCAATATGATAAACCTATAAAACGAAGTTTCCAAAAATTGCAACATTTTGTAACCCACTCCCAAATTTTGATACCTTAACACACAAGAAACTAGACTCCAAAAGATAAAAACTAATTTTTCTTCTCTGGGTTGTGGACCATAGTCACACCTTGTCTGTGTCTACTTATTTATAGATCACCTCCCCACATGAGCCTCCAGAGGGCGGCTGGGGAAGGTCTCCCCAAACCCTGACCTGGCTGTATTCCCCATCTCATTTCTCTGTGGAGCATCTATAATTCAGGCTATTACGATACAGAGTCAACAAATCAGGTTTCACTAGAAATGAATAGGGTAAGAAATTTTAAGAACACACATCACATAATTGTAAACAGTGGTGTTTCTGTTAGCTTTGAATAAAGACCTAGAGGTCTCTAGACCTGTCAAAAAGATTAGGGACACCAGAGGTCTCTAGACCTGTCTAAAAAATTAGGGACACCAGAGGTCTCTAGACCTCTCTAACAAATTAGGGACACCAAGCACAAACGTTGGAACAATTAATATCATCATATCATCGCTTTAAGACTTTTAACATTGGTTACAATATGTGAAATTGTAGTTGCTGTTAACAACTCGAAATGAAAACATCTACCGAACTGGCTCATGAATATAGAGTGACTGCACATTGTTAAAGATGTTATCAAATAGTTTTGAAAATACATTTAGATGTTTTGTTATAGGAGATAACTTTTAAAATGTAAGTTTTTTTTTTTTTTAACATGGTTCTTTGACAGAAAATGTAACATATTCCTCAGCTTACCAGAGACTGGGTGGTAAAACAGTGTCACAGACTGGACTCCATGTTAGTTCGGCAGGAATTGCTGGGCCAATTTCTGTACATAAGAGGCCTTATGAAAATCTTGTGAAAAACCTTCCGAAATACTGGTGTTCTGAAAATTATGAAAATCCAAGGGTCCACAATGGAGATTACAGATAGAAAACGCAAGGCTCGGAGGTCTTCCATTTCTTCAGAGGTTGCATCTTTCTCATGGGCAGTTTTAAATGCTCCATAGTAAGCACGATACTGTTTTAAGGAAAAACATCCCATTATGATATTGAAAGTTTGATGACAGAAATAAATGCACTTACCTTACTTTAGAAACATTAATTTCTTATGAACATGGCAGCTTGGCTTGGAAGATTCATTTTTGGTAAATGTATAAGCCGCAAAGGCCACTGCTGTGAATGGGGGTGAGTGAGGAGCCGAGCAGGTGCAGGGCTGAGCTGAAGGCTCAGTGGAAGAGGGGTACTCCTGGGAGCCCGGGTCTCAGTCCCTGGAGGCTGTTCTGCCTGCTGTGAGGCTGCAGGGCTGGAGTCTCCAGGTCCCTCCACGCAGAGGAAGAGTTGAGGTGGAGCCAACCCAGTGCACTGAATCTCTTATGAACAGGGTCAGCACACTCCCGTAAACACAGAGGTTCTCTTTCCTTCAGTTATCCTTTCTTTCTTCTGACTGCTTCCTGTCCTCTTATTAGCCCAGAAATAAGCCTTACTTGGTGAAACGTTATGTATATGGAGACAAAAATGATACAGAAATTTTAATCAGGAAATACTCCAGTGAGAAGACTGGAGGAGATTTAGAAAAGGATTTCTTTAATTCCTGTGAATTACTTATTCTTAGAATAGATGGTTATTACCTTTACTGTGGTTAACACCCTCTTTTCAGACTAGAACACACACACACACACACAGAAATATAAGCCCACTTACTTGCGCCTGACCACCCCTATTGTCTTGATCTTCCTGGAGGTGTCAGTCCTCCTTGGCGCCCTGCAAACTGCCCCCTCGCATGGCTTTTCCTGCCATTGAGCCAAAATGGCCGACATGTCGGCTAGTACCACAGCTGCCTCCCACTCTGTTGGAGGCCAGCCATTCCTTTCTCCATGCCTACTGAGATTCTAAATCCATAATGGGACAAAATGGACTCTAATAGGACAGAAAATATGTAAACTCAACATCTGTGGAAGGGGATATGAATAACTGCCCAGACTAGACCCACTCGGGGCAATCAAGAAACATGAGATGTGTTTTCCCATAATTGTTTCCTTACCTTTTACTCTCTTTTTTATAGAGCATTTCAGCAGGCTCAGACATTCCCGTCTACCCCACTTAAGAAGATATACTTGTAGGGCACCTGGGTGGCTCAGTCGGTTAAGCATCTGACTTGGGTGCAGGTCATGATCTCAGGGTCCTGGGATTGAGCCCCGTGTTGGGCTCCACATCAGCAAGGAGTCTGCTTGTCTCTTTCCCTTTCTCTCTGCCCCTCCCCCCACTTGTGCTCACTCTCTCTCAAATAAAATCTTTAAAAAAAAGAAGATATATCTGAATGCCCTTTCCCATCATCAATTACTACCGACTACTACTAATAATAATGGCTACTGCCCATGTAGAACTTACTATACCCAGGCACTGTTCTAAGCATTCTATTTTTTAAATTTTTAAAGATTTTTCTTAATTTATTTGAGAGAGAGAGAGAGTGAGAGAGAGCACAAGCAGGGTAAAGGGCAGAGGGAGAAGCAGACACCTCGCTAAGCAGGGAGCCCGATGTGGGACTCGTTTCCGGGACTCCGGGATCGTGACCTGAGCCGCAGGGAGACGCTTAACCGACTGAGCCACCCAGACACCCTAAGCATTTTACTTCAAAAACTTCTTTTTACCCTCACAAAAGTCCTATGAAGTAAGGATGACCGTTATCGCCATTTTACAGATGTAGAAACTGAACATTTTACTTTAAAATCTTTTGGATTTTACATGCCCAAATCCTAGCTCCTTTCAAGGTCTGTCTCAAATACTACGCCCTTCAGGAAGCCTCTCTGAGAGAGTGGCTAAGCCCAGCAGCTTTGGAATCTGACTATGGGGTTGGATGAAATCCCCTCACTGGCTGTGTGAAATCGGGCATGTAATTCCATTTCCTCATCTACACAATGGGGATAATTGTACCTACCTTCCTTCTGTGACTGTTAGGAAGTCTGAACAAGATGGTATGAGTAGGACCTTGACAACAGGTCCTAGCACATAGTAAGAACTCAAAAGTTTGTTATTATTATTTTATCAGTTAGTAGGGACTCCTTTTCTCCTCTAAACTCCTTTATGGCCCCAATCACTCCATCCCTCACCCAGTATTACAGCTTACATGGGCAGATGTAATATTTTTCTTATTTTATATCCCCACAATGAACTACAGTGTGTTGAATGTTGTAGGTACCAGCTGCATGCTTAATTTGATTAATGGTTGACAATAGGCTATACACTTAAGCTGATTTAAAAAGCAAATACTTTATGTAAGTTTGTTTTTACATTTGCTCCTTCTTCTTGAAAGTGAAGTACAGCAAAATATAATTCCAACTATTTCAGAATACTTGATTAGTTGGGATCTGAGTAATGAAATGACATCTACATAACCAAAACCATTTTATTTCTATGTAGTATTTATCCATGTCAATTCTATTGCATATAATTAGGTTATTTGTATTTTCAAGTCACTTGATTTATATTAGAAATGTATTGTTCTATACCTGGCTTTTTAATTTTAATTTTATTTTAATTTTATTTTTATTTATTTTATTTTAGGTTTACTAAAAATGTGACAGAAATTAATTCATTTATGACAGTGATCAAAGTACATATTCTATTAATTCTGAAAAAGGTATCAATTTGAACTCAATTTAGACTTTCAAAAAATCTGTTGCTCAACACTATTCCTTAGAACACACTTTATAAACTGCTCCTGTAAAAGATGGCTAGATTAATGAATAACCTCAGAATATACACCCTACATGCTTAAAGTAGTTCAATTTTCACAGGGAATGGTGTGAGAAGAGCTCCTTCTATTGGACTTAGGAGTCCATGAAAAAATGTTGCTGTTGTCAGTTTGCTGGAGACTCATGTAGCTGGACATCCCTGCTGAGGAGAGCTCTCTGGATTCTAATGCCCCTTCCATCCAGTTCATCCATCACAACACCCTAGACCTCATCCTCTGCTCTAGCCCTTCAAATCCACTTTCAACCCTTTTCCCTGGGCCCATGTTTTGCCCACCATCCCTTACGTATTTCTATCAGCTTCTTTTGAAAGGAGCATCACACTCATTCTTTTTGCCCACCAGAATGAAATACATACATATCTCAATACATGCAAGATGTCCTCCATCATGTCTCTGACTCCATGGATTCTGATATATGCAATTACACAAGCTCATACTTATCTTTACCTGGCTTGTCAACCTCTCAAGCTATTATGTCCAATCTCTCATTAGATCCCTCTCTCATCTGTCCCTGCTCACCTACCATCCTCCAATACGTTAGGTCTCTAAGGTAAAATGAATTTTTTTTAAAGATTTTATTTATTTATTTGACAGAGAGAGACACAGCAAGAGGGAACACAAGTAGGGGGAGTGGGAGAGGGAGAAGCAGGCTTCCCGCTGAGCAGGGAGCCCGATGCGGGGCTCAATCCCAGGAGCCTGGAATCATGACCTGAGCTGAAGGCAGATGCTTAACGACTGAGCCACCCAGGCGCCCTGGTAAAATTAATTTTGATGAAAATATGTTATATGCATTAGAAAATGTGCTGCAAACGGCTTCTAAAGCTCATCCCATATTCTCTGTACTTTCTTCCTGAGGAAGTTTTCAAGTTGGAAATTTGAAAATTCAATTTGGGAAAGTACCTTGCTCTAATGCAACATTATAGCAAAATTAATTTAAAAGATCAAACCCCAACACACTTTTCATTGGCTTAATGAAATACAATATTCATGCTATGAGCAAGGTTTCTTCTTAAGGTTCTTTTCTCCCTTCATATATAGCCTTATTTTTCCCAATCACTAGACCCAGAAGAGTGATTAGAAGAGTGATTTTCAAAGTGTGGAGGTTTCCAATACTCTGTCAGTGTGTCTTCAGAGTCAAAACTATTTTCATAAAACCGAAATTATGTGCCTTTTTCACTCACAGGTGTACAGTAAGTTTTACTAACATCATCACTCCCACATCTAATGGAATATATAGTGTGTATTCTTGTGTTTTCTATACCTTTCTAAGGTAGTTGATTTGGGGTATACACATATGTACATTTTCTTTTCTTTTTTTTTTTGTAGTTTTTAATTTTATTATATTATGTTAGTCACCATACAATACATCATTAGTTTTTGATGTATTGATCCACGATCCATTGTTTTCGTATAACACCCAGTGCTCCATGCAGTACGTGCCCTCCTTAATACCCATCACCGGGCTAACCAATCCCCCCCCCCCTCCCCTCTAGAACCCTGTTTGTTTCTCAGGTCCATAGTCTCTCATGGTTCATCTCTCCCTCCAATTCCCGCCCCCATTTTTCCCTTCCTTCTCCTAATGTCCTCCATGCTATTCCTTATGTTCTACAAATAAGTGAAACCATATGATAATTGACTTTCTCTGCTTGACTTATTTCGCTTAGCATAATCTCCTCCAGTCCCATCCATGTTGATGTAAAAGTTGGGTATTCATCTTTTCTGATGGCTGAGTAATATTCCATTGTATATATGGACCACATCTTCTTTATCCATTCATCTGTTGAAGGGCATCTCGGCTCTTTCCACAGTTTGGCTATTGCAGACATTGCTGCTATGAACATTGGGGTGCATATGGCCCTCCTTTTCACTACATCTGTGTCTTTGGGGTAAATACCCAGTAGTGCAATTGCTGGGTCACAGGGTAGCTCTATTTTTAAATTTTTGAGGAACCTCCACACTATTTTCCAAAGTGGCTGTATCAATTTGCATTCCCACCAACAGTGTAAGAGGGTTCCCCTTTCTCCATAACCTCTCCAACATTTGTTGTTTCTTTCCCTGTCCATTTTGTCCATTCTAACTGGTGTAAGGTGGTATCTCAGTGTGGTTTTGATTTGAATTTCCCTGATGGCTAATGATGATGAACATTTTTTCATGTGTCTGTTAGCCATTTGTATGTCTTCTTCAGAGAAGTGTCTGTTCATCTCTTCTGCCCACTTTTTGACTTGATTATTTGTTTTTTGGGTGTGGAGTTTGAGAAGTTCTTTATA